CCCCCCCATTTCCTCCCCCACCCCCCCTGGTTTCCCCCCCCCCCCCCCCGCAAGCCCCACTTACCTCCAAGAACAAAGAAGACTGATCCTCCTCCTGGCAGCCTCCAGTAAGTGACTGTGGGTCCCACCCTTTCCCCTCCCTCTGGGTAGGGCTGGGGCTTTCCCACCCCTTTTGCAAACAGCACTTGGAGGCTGGAACTCAGCCAGCCTGCAGACCTCTTTGCAAAAGGGGGAAATCCGTGGGTTTCCCTGCTAAAAGGGAAAATCCGTTTTCTCCAATTAAAATGGGAAATCCACGGTTTTCTCGGTCTTTCCATGGGAAACAGAAAACCCGGATCCCTTAATGACTTCCTTTCTCCTTTTTAACGGTCTTGATGTTTCACTATTCAAACTCCCTGGATGAAGAGAAGGAGAATACAGAAAGCCCCAGAGAGGCTGTGGAAACCGATCAGGTAAAGGTCTCTGCAGGCAGGGATAGTTTTCTAACTGCACCTTTCTTTTCAAAAAGGAAATCACAGTAAAGAGAAGGGACTGTGAAGTCTGGATTTTCCAGCCTGGATTTTCCTCACCAGTCCCAGATGAGTTCTGCTTTATCACCTTGATCTAACCAACCTGCATGCAAATAACTTATTTTTGTATTAGAGACTTAGCAGATTCATCTGCCCTGTCAAGGAAGCAAAGACATGCCATTGCACAAACATCTCATCTTGCCTTTTATTCCAAAAGGTCTTAAATTCTTCCTATACATGTGCAGGGAGGCTGCTGCAACGCGCTTGCTGGTGATGGTAATTGCTGCGCTCCAGCAGATCCACCATCACATGTATCAGTGTCCCTGCACTGAAAAACAGCAGCAGGGGCACTTTAACTAAAGCTTGTTGGACAAACTTTAGTTAAAGCACCCTGACACCATACTACAGCGCAGGGACACTGATACACGTGACACTCTGAGGGCCACTCTGGTTAAAGCGCCTCCCTATAAATCTATAAATGCCCAAAGTGCCTTGCAAGCCTCTGTACCAGACGAATGCTGCTACTGTTGATCATCTGCAGGGTGGCTGTGCCCAGAGGCCTCAACCTGTGACCATGGCCTCACTGTGCTAAACACTATGAACAGGAGCAGATCCAGGGGGGGTTAATGGTGCTGTTTGACCCCTTTGATACCTGCTCCAACCAAACTTTAGAAGCAGCTGCCTGGGAGGGGCAGTAGCGTTTCTATTCAGGTAGTGCTGAGAGTCAGTTGACTTCCTGGCTCATTATCCTGTTGTTCTCTTTCCACATCGCAGGTGTTAACCACCCTCTATCCGGATCTTGATTTTTCATATTCAAACTATCCCTTCAGCCATGGTGTTGTCTCTTAGCCATTCCTGGTAGTGTGTCTCTTTCATTTCTCTGCCCTGCAGGTTGTTTTTATCTGTACCCAAAAACCTTAACACAGGTGCAGCCGTATTAAGTCAGATGTAGAAATGACAGTGAAGTCTGGGAGCTGCTGTCCAGCTGCCCTGGAAGGTCAGGTTTTGCTTTATAAATCTGAAGAGATGCACATTGAACTATAATGACAAGGCTAAATATTACTGGGAGAGTGATTATTCCCCTCTATTTGGCACTGGTGAGGCCACATGTGCAGTAATGGGTCCAGTTCTGGGCCCCTGTACAGAAAAGATGTGGACAAATTGGGGAGAGTCCAGCGGAGGGCGAGGAAAACAGTTGGGGGGGTTTGGGGCACGGGATTCCCAAGGAGCAGCTGAGGGAACCGAGCTGATTTAGTCTGCAGAAGAGAAGACTGAGGGGGGTTTAACAGCAGCCTCCAACTCCCTGCAGGGGGGGTAGAAGGGGGATGGAGCTGGGCTTGTTCTCAGCGGTGGCGAGTGACAGGACATGGAGCAACCATCTCAGGTTGCAGCAAGGGAAGTTTAGGTTAGAGAGTAAGATGAGGTCAGAGAGGATTAGATGCGGTGCTCACAAGCCCCGCGTGTAGCGGCAGTGCAGAGCAGTGCAGTGTAGTACACGGCAGGGTAGCAAAGCACTGGGACAGGCTGCCCCGCGAGGTGGCGGCAGCTCCATCCTGGGAGGGTTTGACGACTCGGGGTTAGGATGCTATAGCTGGGGCTGGACTAGATGTGGCCCCCCCCCGTGCCCGTCGGGTCCGG